CACAAGGCAACCTGCAGACAGGGTTTCGCACTCAGGGTCTGCCATGTCGCAGTTCCTCCGTGGAAGATCCTTGAGTACGCTTCCGGAATTGGAGCAGCCTTCCTCTCTGAAACCTCCCTGCAGTGTTGGCCTGTGGACGGAACTAAAGAAAGCTGACAAACAGCAGCCTTAAGACCGAACGCTTCCTTCTTCTTTGGCCCAGACTCTGTTTAGAGAGAGCCAACGCTTTTGGCACCAGTCACGGAGCCGACGCGCTTTGAGTCATATGTTTGCTTCCTTCACGTTTATGAGGCCGCCAGGGAAGAAGCAGGTCTGGAGCAAAACAGCATCCAAAAAACCTGGGGCAACAGTGGGTTGAAACTGACGTTATCGAATTTGACTATTTCGAAATTTGTTTCTTTTTTTTTAAAAAAAGAAAGGTGTTCCCCCGCTTTCTACGTCAGGTCAATAACCATTCAGTCCACAAGTACTACTTTTGAATGGTGTGAGAGCCAGTTTGGTGTTGTGGTTAAGTGCGCGGACTCTAATCTGGGAGATCCGGGTTTCATTCCCCCACTCCTCCACTTGCACCTGCTGGATGACCTTGGGCAAGTCGTAGTTCTGATAAGAGCTGTCCTTGAAAAAGAGCCGTTTCTGTCAGAGCTCTCTTAGCCCCACCCACCTCCCAGGGTGTCTGTGGTGGGGAGGGGGAGAGGAGTTTGTAAGCCACTCTGAGACTCCCTTGGTTCGTGAAGGGCCATGGGGTATACATCCAATCTCTTCTTCTTCTTCGTCCTCCACTTGCACCTGGATGGATGACCTTGGGCAAGCCGTAGTTCTGATAAGAGCTGTTCTTGAAAAAGAGCAGTTTCTGTCAGAGCTCCCTCAGCCCCACCTACCCCACAGGGTGTCTGTTGTGGGGAGGGGAAGGGAAAGGAGTTTGTAAGCCACTCTGAGACACCTTTGGGGGTAGTGAAGGGCGGGGTATAAATCCAATCTCTTCTTCTTCTCTTCAGTTTGGTGCAGTGGTTACGTTCACAAACTCTAATCTGGGAGGACCGGGTTTGATTCCCCACTCCTCCAATTGTACCTGGCTGGATGACCTTGGGCAAGCCGTAGTTCTGATAAGAGCTGTTCTTGAAAAAAGAGCAGTTTCTGTCAGAGCTCTCTCAGCCCCGCCTACCTCCCAGGGTGTCTGTTGTGGGGAGGGGAAGGGAAAGGAGTTTGTAAGCCGCTCTGACACTCAGAGTGAAGGGCGGGGTATAAAGCCAATCCCCTCTTCTTCTTCTTCTTCTTTTGTGTAACATACCCATCAAAAGAAAGAAATGTAAAAGTCAGTGAATGCAGCTGAATGAGTCTGCTTGCCCTATGGAAGAATTGTGACAGCAGAGAAGAAACCAGGAAAGAAGAGATTTTTGTTAATTTTGCTTCCGCTGTCCTTATCCTTTGCAAAAACTGCAGAGGCTCCAAGAGCTTAGGAATCCACTACCCTTTGCTGCTGGTATTCCTGGGGCCGGCCTCTTCTTCCATCCGGCCGAAAGCTTTCAGAGAAGCTCATTCTTCTCATTCAATTTAGAGTTTCCTGCTACAATTATTTTGACCCGCTTTTCCAAAGTGATACCGTTTGCTATATTGACAGGTGCCAGAGCTGTCCCTGAGAGGAAGTTGTATTTTGAGCTAGTAGAGACCAGGGGTCATTTCCTGCGGGAGCGCAGCTCCGGCAGTAAAGAGCCCAGGGGGCGGGCACATGCAACAAGCCCCACCCCCTGCTCCCAGCAACCCTCAGCCGGGCCATGAGGAACAAGAAGCAGCCAGGTAAGTTGCAGAGCCCCCCCCCCGGCCTGCCTTCAGGTACAAGCTCTCCCTCCTCTGTGAGGGCAGATCTGTGCGTTCCCCTCCTCCTCATAGCTAGCAATCCAAAACAGTCCAGTGGCGCCTTTAAGGCCAAGGTTTATTCAGGTACAAGCTCTTCCTCCTCTGTGAGGACAGATCTGCACACTCCCCCCCCC